CGAGTCACTTTCAATTGCAACCCACTCCCTCAGAGCCTGGCGCACAAATCAAAATCTCATTGTGAATTAGCTACAGCTTTTAATTAGTCCAAAGAAAGTTTATGTTGATATAACAGAAAGTTATTCTGTTGAATAAGTGAAGTGAATCCTCCTGTAAGCAACTAATACCCACATCTTCAACAAATCATAATTTTCTTCCTCCTAACTTTTATGTCAGACCTGTCCTCACATACCTGTGGACATGAACTATGGAGTGCTTTTATGAACCAGAACTCAAACAAATGAAATCTCTAAGGATGACCTGCTGTCATTGTGCACTATGGTGGAGACACAACCATAGTCTAACCATGTTAGGCTGAGGGTGAGCGGAAGATCCTGCAACAGAAAACCTTCTCCCACTTTTATTTGAGCTTTTTGTTAATAGGTGCAAACTGCTTGCATTCGCTGGACCCAGTGAGTGTGGTTGATCAACATGTAGTCAGAGCAATCAGCTTTGGGGAGAGATGAGGCAAGTAATATGTCAAAAAGTTGAGCAGTGAGATGGAGAAACAGCACCATCAGTGGTTCAAGTTGTCACCTCAACATGTTCTTCCTGATGGTCATCAACGTACTGCGCCAGCTCGGTGTACTGGGAAGCCTGGCCACAGGAAATGACCAGCAGGATGAAGGGGACGGTTTGAAGATTCATCTAGTGGAAAAATGAAAAATCGAATGATAGTGGGAGTAGCTTGTTGGAAAAAGAAGTTATCACAAATCATCTTAAATTAATAATCATTACATCATAATTTAACTGAATATTGAAGTAGTTCTAATTTAAAACTCAAGCAGGTACTCAGCAATTATCTGTACAGTGGCTCTCAAAGATGTACATACCCTTATTAAACTAACAAAAACTGACTAAATAAAACAGGTGGTTTTAGTAAAACACAAGAAAACTTAAAACAACACATTCTGTGCTCTGAAAATATTTAATATAAGCATATAAGCATACTTTCTCATTATTTTTCTTAGTAGGTAATATTTATTTTATTTTCATTTTAAATGTGACCATCATTACACAGCTTGTCTGAAGATCCACTATCTGATGACTTCATTAGGATTTAACTGAAGTGAAAAAAAAATTATATTATATTAAGTTCTTTGTGTTGGCCTTTTATAAAGACTCTTCAGTTGGTGTTTAAATATTGTCAATATAGTGACCCAATAACACAGAATTACCTAGTAATATTTTCTAATATCTTGTCCACTTTTAACATTTTTGACACAGAAACATGCAGGCTGCTGGCAGACCACCCAGAGCCCTTCTAACACCTCACTTAGCAGGTTGTCAGTGAAAACAAGATGCAATATGAGACAATAGTGAGGAAAACCAGAAATGGGTTTAGGACGTTGCCGTGAGACCAACAGTAGGACTAAAGGAGCTCCAGGAATTAAAGTACTAGTTGTGTCCCACATGGAAAAACCTGTTCCCTCCGTATGTAGTGGTCCAAGATTGAAAAATAGAAATCTTTTTTCCACAGAATACTCAAACACATTTTCATGCAAAGTAAGAACCTTTGGGCCACAGATCCAAAACATCTAATTCACAGAGAACAGTTGTGCACACCTTTGCTGGGATGATGTAGATAAAGAGAGATCATATTTTACAGTATTAGACTCTAAATCATTCCAGATTTGATGAAATGATGCAACCAGACTCTAGAACTGAATATGGCAAAAAATCTGGGTGGTAAACAGTGGATAAAGGAATTTGTTTCCATCTGAAATATCTGCAGAACATTTGAAAAGCAGAATGGGAATTCTCTGATTAAGATGTGACATCCTGACTGAATCATAAAATGGTATTAGATGTTTCAACAAATCAAGTTTGCATCCAGGGTTAGGTTTTTTTTTTAACAAAAATCTATTTAATGTATTTGTTTTCAGCTTAATTGTATAGATCAATTTAAAGGTGGAGAACATTTAGAAATAATTTGAAACTTTTAACATCTACAAAAGCATTTTAACATGAATGTGGAAACATTTTAGACCCTCTACAACCTTCTGCTCTGCTGAGTCACTCCATCACACTAAGCAGCTTTTTAACAGAACTTTTACAACTTCTGCCTGATCCCTCCAAACCGTTAATAACTTTTCAGCTTTATCTCGATACAGATTAAACCTTATTTCTTATATTGATGAACATATAATATGATGAATATATTTCCTTACCTTCTCTTAGATGCAGTGGAAACAGTCTTATCAGGCCCAGCAGCTGTGGCCCCATGTTGCTGGTGGGACATTTATACACATTCCCTCATGCTGCACTCTTACCGGGCCCCGGGGTCACACTGTCAAATGTTTCCTGACATCTTGCCAAGACAGCAGACAAATGACTTTTTTCTTGCTGAGAGAGACAAAACTCCACTCAGATCTATTGATCTTGGTCCAAGAATGTGCTTGGATCAACGATGGGGGGTTAAGGGGAGGGGTGCTCGGAAGGACAAAACATCATGTGAAACTCCTAATTATTGTGCTCCCCCACACACATAACAAGTTGCACAACAGACGGCCCCCTGAACTAAACCTCAAAAGAATAGCAGTTTCTCATAGGGCAATGTGAATTCATGGGAAATTATAAATGGACCAAACTTTTCCACTTATATTGACTCGTAGCGTTTTTCATTAGAGTCACATTCACCCATTCGCACTCACAAATGCATACATATTTACATACCGATACACAACTGTCTTTTTCTGTAGTAGGAGTTACGGGACAGAGGAAAGGAGGTGCTGTGTTGACTTGGTTCCAGAATGGACTCCTTGTTATCCCGGAAATCTGCAAAACCAAGATCAGCAGTGGGGACTGGAACAGATTTGTATGTGTGTGTTTAATAGTCAGCTAATACTATGCATGGTTTCTGACTGCGGGAAACATTTTAATATTTAGAATAGAAAGTCTACATATTAATAAAAATGAGCCCTGATTAACTCACTAGACCAAAGATAAAGAGAAAAGTGTATTTTCAAGCAAATGTATAATTTTGATCTGGACACCTGAAACCTCCCTCTCCAAAAATGCATCTGTATTGTAAAGAAACCCAAGTTTCTTTTAGTTTGAATGTTTTTTCATTCACTTCTTATTATGCATTTTCATATTCTGAAAATGTCTTGTTTTGTTTCATTTTCAGATTGTATGTTTTTATATTGAAATCTTTTTTTCTTCAGATTCCAGTGTTTTCAGTTTCTGATGGGTGAAAAGGTTGAGGCCAGTGGTTCTCCACCGTTTTTTTGCCAGCGTCCCCTAAACATTACCCAGGTCCCTGGATTAACTTTCATGGGAGGTAGCCTGCATAAAAAATGATGTAGGCACCAGATATTATGATTATTACTGTTGTTATGATATTTTCTGTCTGTAATTATCATCACAACTATTTAAAAAATATGGATAAACAGATTGGAAGTTGTTACACCTAACAAGAAGGTAATAGAAACCTCTCACTTTGTTGATAATTCATTGCTTTCTGATGAGCTGATAGCGCTTTATGCCAAATCTCCACAGGACAATGAACAGCTGAAAAAGCAAATCAAAGTCAGAGTTTATGAATTTATTGCTACATTTGATCTATAAAGCTTCTTCTCTTGGAGTAACTGCTCAGTAACGGTACTCAAGGTTTCCCCCAGAAAACTTTCTAAGCCCAGTGGTTGGGTGCTTGGGCAGTCATTCTATCAGTCTATCAGTAGTCTGCTGAAACTGTGAATTTCAAAACATTAGAATCTCTAAAAACTGATTTTTTTTTTCATTAACTTTAGACATTGCGTTTCTTGGTTGTTTTCTGTGTCATTATCGTCATCTATCCTAAATAAATCTTTAAAAAACTGCTCTCCCCTTAGTCAGACCTAATAAGGTAGATGCCTCCGACATCTTGGAAAGGTTGCCTGCTGTACTCTGTGTAATCTGTTTGCCAGATGTAATGAATGGTTTAATCAGACATAAATCACTGAAAACTAAACTGATTTTCACATTTTCTTTCCTGAAACTTTATGCATACAGTCATATACACATGGTTCAGTATATTCCTGGTGGGGTTAACAGTAATGAAATATTCTAAAATGATGTACAAAAAGTATTTTGCAAACCACACAGTCACTCATATTTTTATATTTTTTAAGATTTTATCTATACATTTGTATATCTATGTATACATACAATCATACAAATATAGAAGTGATTAATTATTAAAACTTAATATGATTAGATTATTTATAATTATATACACATGGGTAAACTATATAAATACACACAAATAATCAGTTATCTGTGATGACACAACCATATTTACATATTTATAGAGTTGCTCATAAAGGTTTTACATGAGCTAAAATCCCAGAAACAGGACTGCTTTGCAGAAGTTTTTTTGGTAACACTTTATTTGACCGGGTGTACATAAAACTGACATAACACCTCTCATGAAGATGAAGGAGTCTTCATGAATGGTTATGACTGTTGTCATAAAGTGTCAATGGGTAAATAATGACACTTTTAATGCAAAGTTGCTCTAAAGGTTGCATTGAAAGTCCATTAAAAGGGTGAACTTTGCACTAAAGTGACATTGTTTGCAAAATCATGCAAAATTGGGGCTTTTAATGCAAATTTGCATTAAAAGTGTCATTATTTACCAATTGACACTTCATGACAACAGTCATAAACATTCATAAAGACTTCTTTATATTCATGACAGGTGTTATGTCAGTCTTGTGCACATCCCGTCAAATAAAATGCAACTGTTTTTTCTTGTACTGCCTTTCTGTAAATCAAGAGAAGTGACTTTGACAATGTGGTGCATTTTTATCTTAAAAAACAAAGTCATAACCATTGAGAACAAGGCAGAAAGAATGATGATTATCAGTGTCATCTTTAATACGACCGTCGGTATTAAAGATGCATTAATACATCGTTGTATTGAAAAATGTTAAGCTGACAAATTGCGTGGTTTTAGTAGCTCTTCCATTTCATGGCTATTAAGGTTTTTAATAAGCACCACAAAGACTGTTTTGGTTGCCCAAGCTTTATGGGACAGGTTTGTCTGCTCTCAGCGCGGATGTGCGCATTAATTCTACTGTAGATAAAGCATTTCATATTGTACAGTTTGATGCATTGTGTCACTGCAAACAAATACAATACAAATAAACCCGTGGGCTGCGCAACTACGAGGCGAGCATGAAAGCTCCTCCACGGACAGTACCACTGGCTCACCAACGCACCGGCTAACCAGGAATTCAGGCTTTATCAGCGCAGACACAAACTCAACATGTTGAGATTAAACGCACACGAGTAAAGCTTGCCTGCCCGCCAGGCTTATGATACACTGGGGGAAGCCCTGAGTGTCAAATTATGTCTAATCTTCTCCAGTCTCTTTGCGAACAATGTGTGCAATGGTTGACACCTTTGGAGGTTGCTGTGTTGAAGCTCTAGTATCTCAGCTCTCAGCAGCTTCACTGTGCCTTGTGATGGAACCATAGTTGTTCAGGGTTAGGAGGTGGTAACCCATCAAATGATGACACAGCCTTTCTGACCAGCTCACATGACACAGCAGTTTTCGTAGAATCTGCTACAAATCCTGCTGTAGAAACCAGAGCATTTTCCACCAGACCACCAAACTTATTTGGAAGATCGCCATGGTCGCACACAACATCTGAAATGGAGATTGTTACTCTTCAGCAATTCAAGCAGAGGACATCTAAAGGTGACAGGGACAAGGTGTCATGCTGGGCAGCCACATTGCCACTAGGGGAGCCACCACATCGAACCATCAGATGTCCTGGAACTGGCATGCAGATGGATTGTTATTCCAGCCACCTAGATTACAAAACAGACACATCATACAGGAATTACTGATAAGACATAACATACATAGACATTCATTAAGTATATTTTCAAAGTTTATTGTAATTAAAACAATAAATAAACTGGTCAACATTAAGGTTACCTTTGTAATGTATGTGGATGTGGGAGGGGCAATTTTCCAGTATCCCGGAGGTACTTGTATGCCTTTGGACTGTGCAGATGGAGTGTGAGGGCAAACTCTCTGTGCTCCTTTGAGTACTCATGGCCCTGATTTTCTAAGAAGTCCAGCTGAAGATCTGAAATTTTAAGAGCAAAAATGAAAAACCTCTCCTTCAGATAAATATTTGAGGATGTTAAAAAAACTGTAGTTATATTAAATAAATTAGAATACGTGTTCCAATGAAGCTCATTTGTTAGATAAAAAGTACCTTTTGAAAATAGATGACAACCTAAAAGCAGGTATAAGACATACTTTTCATTAAGGTTACATCTCTGCATTAAAAATGTTTTTTTATTGGTCTGATGTAATGTGTCTAATTTAAAATCTCATGTGTTCATTAACACAAATTAGCAGGAAATCATAATTAAGAGCAAGAAAGCCTTTCCAATCTATGTTTAGTTAATCTACATAAAGTGTTTCACTTAGTGTTAAAGTTCCTGAAATAAATGGACTCTTCAAAAATTTACTGAATGGGTCTTGAATATGAGTTTCAAAGAGCTAATTTCATCTTACCTGAGTATAATTCAAGCCTCTCTCTGAGCTTCTTATTAATTAGTTTCTTGTCACTCAAATCCCCCAACAGAGACTGAACTGTGGTCTTTGCCCTCTTTTCTCTGGCCATGGCGTTTTTCTTTTCCCGCTCTAGACTTTCCACTCTTGCCAAGGCTTCCTTCAGTTTAGCCGTAACAGCAGTAAGAGAAGCTGGCAAGGCATAGCCATGATCCTAATAGACAGAGAGATGAAGATTACACTATGTGATCTAACTGACTGTCTTCAGTTGTGAGAGTGTTTAATATGAGTGGCAGCAAACCACTGCTGAGAGTGGTTTGAGAGTTTAATATGGCCATGACCATTATGACATCATGTTTAAAATAGAAATACTCACATCATTAGGCTGAGGCTGCGGCTGTGAGGTACAAGTTTCTGTGGTATCCTGAGAGGCCACAGACAGGCAAGGCTCAACTTTTATGGAGGTTACTGTCATCCTGCTCTTTTCTGGCTAAAATAAAAAAGCATCATGATTATGAACTTTACAGTATATAGTAATCTGTACACATAAACAAATGGAGAAATGAGTATCTCACCCTGTCCTGTGAGTGATAATACAATCTGTACATTTGTACTAAGAGACTTAAGATGATACACCTACTCTTTGGAGGTCAGCAGAGAAGCTGAAGATTGATGGAATAGCACCATCTCTCAGTCGGACAATCTGACCAGTTCTGTCGAAATCCTCCCGTTTAAAATGCTCACTGCACAGCACGGATGAATCACTTGCAGTGAATCGCTCTCTCTGCAAAGACGCTTCCCACTTCTTCCTCATGTCTTTGTCTTTGGGAAACCTTCAAAACGAAAACAGGAGATTTGCGAGTGTCTACACAAAAACATTGTTCAAAGTAGGCTAGTCTTGTTTTTTCATTATAATGTTCACATTTCTTTACTACTTTTTACTTTCAATTTATTATAACTTTACTTCAATTAAACTCCTATTTTGATGTATATCTGTTAATAATGAACCAAAACTAATGAAAATGTGAGGAAGCTTGTTTGAAAACTGCTGTCAGATTTTCTGTTGTATGAATGGTGGACATGAGATATTGGTATCTTGCTGTCAGTTGGTTAATGGTGATATTGATTCAATTACATTTACCATTTACTTAGGTAACTTTTTTGATTATTATTGTAGGAGTATTTTTAGTATGGTGTAGTCTTGACTTTTACTTGACTAATTTCACTGTCACTACTCTTATTGAGTAAAATTTCTGGATTCTCTACCCACTGAATGAAAAACAAACATGTTTTAACCAGATAAAGACATACACCTGGAGTTTTTGTTAAAAGTTGCACATATTTCATATTGAATTACTGTCATTTTGGTCATTAAAATACCAAAATTTCCCCTTAACTTTATATTTTGGTCTGTCTGATGATGCTTAAATATTAAATGGTTGACAATTTGATGAGCTACTCAGTGCTTGAGAAGACTTTTTTTTTTTTTTTTTACCAAATAATTTCCCACGAGCGTGTATTACACTCCATGCGCGAAATTTTAAGTCCCACACACGAACAATTAAAAGTGACCAGCGCTACTCTGGTACAAAACTCAACACGCGCTCACGAGATGCAACTCTCTATGCTTTCAATCCATCTAACCTGGTCGCTTGTGGACCTGCGCGCTCATGTTAAATATTTGGTTAACTTTTGTTTTTCAAAACTTGAAATTATACCGTTTACAATACATCAGCGCTGAAAAGATAATGATGTACGCATCAAGATAATCTAAGCAAACAACACGAATATAAGACACTGAACACAGAGAGGAAATCCGTAACGTATACATACATTCATTATATAGTACAATATAAGTTTCATTGTGTAGCTCATGCAAAGAATGTCTGCATTCACATACCTCAATGGTTTTAAGTGTTTTGCTGTTGTTTTTTAACCAAACTTTAATTGTCCCATTATAACATTTCACCTCATTGTAAAAAGCAACAGTGTATTTGATACACTTAATGCGATATTGTACCAAAAATAGCAGGAGACTTATAAGGCACTTAGAATTTTTCTATGCATACGGTTTTCAATCGCCGCATGCTTCCACGTTTATCTTACTTGTGAAAAGTTATCCCCCGAGTCCTAACGTCAACAGTCCGTCGATTTGAGCAAAAATTAGCCGCACAATATTGAGGCATCTTGAGATGTTTATGATTTAGCCAAGTAGGTAGGACGACCGCTCCAAGATGGCCGTCGTATTTGGGAGGCAGGAAATACGGCCTTCCTAGGAAGAGAAATATTGTTTTCTCTTCCTAGGCAGGCTCCGCCCACATGCAGTAGTTAAGGTGTTTTTTTTCAAGTTTATCTGAGTAATAATAATAATTTAATACTTATGATTCAAATCGTGTCGTTCTTATAAGTGTAAGTTTTATAAATTTATTATTATTTCCCTTTTTTATTATTTTATTTACGCGGCAGGTCAAAGGCTACAAACAAAATGGCGGAACACCAAAGCGCTGCAGCTACAGCGCTGTGAGCGTCTATTTTGATGTTACAGAGTCTCTTTTCTGTATCAATGAAGTAACGGTTCCATGTCATTCGACCCCTCTTCGGAACTAACCGCTTCTCTTTATTATTTTATGTGGAAATACGTCTGCGGAGTTTTTACGAGAGTCTCCGGGTGAACCACACCACAGCGGCTTGCAGCTGCAGATCTGTTCGCTGTGTGATGAGAGTTTTCTCTGATGGTCTTCAGCAGCGCCAAGTGAAGAGCACCATCACGGATGCATGACTTATTCAAACTCTAATCAAAGATGAACAAGAAGAAGGATAAAGGATTTGAGAGTCCACGACCTTTTAAATTATAAGTATTCTGTTCTTCGTTACAAGAAATCAGAATGAAAGAAATTTGATTTCCAATTCTGTTCAGAATAGTCACTAATATTTACTAGGGTTTGTCACATTACTTACGTGTTAATATTATTTGGTTATTGCTTTTACGACCCATCAGGTGGTGTGCATCAACAACATCAATTTCCAAAGGAAGTCTGTCATTGTGAGTACTATTCTCAGTTGGGGATTTTTACATTCCAGGTCTTAAAGAAGACAAGAAAAGGGGCAGCATTCGTTTTATCCATTATCTATTTATAATAGAAGTCCTATGGATCTCTTTATCCATCCGTAGGATTCCCCCTCATACTTCAGTCCATTCGCTTTCTTACAGTCTGGTTTTTCAGGTTAATTAATTAAAACCTTCCCACTGAAGGAATATTATCCATAAATTCATACTTACGGTGGCTTAGTAGGTTCAACAAAATGCAAAAGTTTCAACACAACAGCAAAAGCCAGAAGAGGATTCATGCTAACATGAGAGTTATGGCACACTAGCTGGCATAACTCCCACTTTAGCCTAGTGCACAACACAAAAACAAAAGACCACAGCACAACAACAAAAGGTCACAATGAAAGTTATGCTAAAAGAAAATATCCCTATGATGGCCTAGAAGGGTCAAGAAAATGCAAAAACCACAATGGAATTCATTCAACAAAGGTTTTGATAAACTTGCTTTCATAATTTCCGTTTTAGCATAACTATAACCCTTCTGGGCTACTGTTTTTTGGTAATTAGATAAATACTGATTGAAGTTGCAATATATATTTTTTTACAATGGTGAATTGGTTAAGAGGTCAGCAACACACATGATAATTATATTGTGCAAAGGAAAATTACTAGTTACATATTAAAATAGCACATCTTAATCCCTATTTTCAGTCTGAAATCCAGACGAAGCAACAAAAACAACTTTGAGTGTCTTCCTAAGCTTCAGTGATCATTTAAACATTACTTTCTAACCAGATAAACGAACCTCAAATCATTTGTATTTTTCTAGTGATAGCAGTGACTGACCTCTGCCTCCTCACTGTGCTGCAGGGCTATGTGGAGCTGACCATTTTCCCCACAGTGGTCAACCTGAACAGGATCAAGTTGAATAGTAAACAATGCAGAATCTACAGGGTCAGGGTCAACGATCTGGAAGCCCCTTTCATTTACAACGACCCCACACTTGAAGTATGCCACAATGAGTCCAAACAGTAAGTAGAACCAGAGCTGTCACAGAAACAAACTAGTTTACGCTTTAGATCGTGGAGTTGATGAGTTCTGTGTGAGTGGATGCTATTGTTTCATCTTTTAGCCATTTTGTTGTTTTGTAATTTTGATTTCTTCCGGTCTTTATCATTTTGGCTTGCTGTGTAAGCTATTCCTGGTCTGAAACTATAAAGTAAAAGTATGGGAAATTTTTCCCCCAGATTTTATTCCATATCTTACTGCCTAAAAGTTGTCTTTGTCTGCTTTCCTTTCTTTATTTTCCTCTCAGGTTCCTTTCCTCTCTAGCTCTTCTTTCGGTCCTTTCTTCATTCCTTTGTTTTTTTGCGTTGTACAATCCTCTCATTATTTTGTTCTTTATTTGTTTTTTTTCCATCCTTACTAACTTTCTCCCTTACTTAAAGCCTACCGTTTGCAGAAATGCCTACTATGTTGAGGAATCCTGCAGATGTTTTATATCCAACTTCGGGGAAATGTTAATCTTCAACCACAGTTTTAAAGTTATTTCCCACAATTTTCTCATTGTCCATAAGAAAATGTGTCTGTGTGACATAGTTAAGCACAGTGGAGGGAGCTGTAGTAATGTGGGAGTTTGTTGCTGGGAAAAACACTGTTTTATTCCCAATTTCCGAAACTATATTTGTATTTTTGACCATGGGTGGGTTTAAGACTCTGCTACCATCTGTATAAAGTTGCTAAAGACAGTTTGTGTTCTACTGACATTCCTGCTGTTGTCCGGCAGCTTATCTGAGCTGGAAATGTTTGGACAGCTTTCTGAATTGAAATGCAACTTTAATGCTGGATAACAATGTTTTTCCTCTGTGTCTGCACAGACGGAACCTGAACTATTTCTCCAGTGCTTACACAGCGGCTGTAAGTGCTGTGGACCCTGACGCTGGGAATGGAGAACTGGTGATCAAAGTTCCCTCTGAGCTCTGGAAACAAGGAGACGGTGAGATACTGCCTTCATATTCTCATCACACTGTCAGAAAAAGGATTGAGATCGTTTTGATAATGACTCGTATCACATGTTTGTGTTTGGGTCCAGATCTGAAGGTGTTAAAGGTTTATATTGAGTTTTCATTGGACCAGCCCAAAGGGGGTCTACACTTTGTTGTTCCTGATGTGGAAGGCAGCATGGCAGAGAGGGGGGCCCACGTGTTCTCCTTTGGATACCAGAACTCCACAAGGTTGGACATTAGTGCAACATCCAGATTATCTGAAGCCACTTCATCGTAACCAGTATCATGTAAAATCGACTTTTTTGAGCTTCACATCATGTTTATAATGTTATTCACTCATCAAAAACATTCCTGGAGGGTTGCTTTGATTATTTCATGCATGTTTGAGTAATCCTTTAATTTCCTGTGGCAACCATTCAGCTTTGCAAAATGCCTGGGTGGACATAAGCCCCGCTTTTGAGGTGCTACTCCTCCTCAGAGCTTCAGTTTCCGAGATTCCACCTCACATAGCAGCCCTCCCCAGCCCCTCCTTATTCAGCTCCTTCAGACTAGCCAGCAGCAATTAGCAAACACTTGGTGGAACTACTCATCTGCTGGGTTCATTATATAAGCTACTTCTTGATAGAGTGTGGGTAAAATTGTTGTTAATGGGTTAATAGAAGAGGCATGATGAGTTCTAGAAGGTGGAGTTTTTGAAGAGATGGTGTCCCAATGTTAAGACATTAAACCTCAAAGTCAAATTTCTTTCCAAGTCATATATGACATATAGCATTTTTATAACAACTGAAGGTACCATGGTTACTTCTATGCAGTAAAATGGCAGTATGTGACTGGAAAATACATAATACTTTCCCTTTAATAGATTAATACATTATGAAATAAAACCTGGGAATTCTTCCATCTTTGCGGCCCCCTCTGAATCCCTTCTCTCCTCAGGTTCTGGTTCCCCTGTGTGGACTCCTACTCAGAGCTGTGTACATGGAAGCTGGAGTTCACTGTAGATGCGTCCATGGTGGCAGTGTCCTGTGGGGACCTGGTGGAGACCATCTACACCCATGACATGAGGAAGAAGACATTCCACTATGTCCTTCCCATCCCCACTGCGGCTCCAAACATCTCCCTGGCTGTGGGGCCCTTTGAAATCCTCGTGGACCCCTACATGCACGAGGTGCGTACTCTGTGATCTGTCTGGATGTCACTGAAAGATGTCCAGACATTCTGTTCTCAAATTAATAGAATAGGAAAAAAATGTTTTTCTTTTTTTTCTGTTGCTCATCATTGGGCTACACATCGCTGAAAAACCTTGTTAAACCCAGGAACTTCAGGGACTTTGCAACCCCCTGGTTATTGTCTCCTAACCTGAAGAACCTTCTCTGATTTTAAAAACTTGATCAAGTTTTATCTAGTTAAGTCACCTCTAAATCAGCTGTTTGATTCACCACACAGGGTGGAGTCGGTCAGTGACTGAAGCTGCTGAACCCAGGGGCTTTTTTAAAAAAATATATTGACTAAAAATATTGATGACTATTTAATTTTTTTTCTTTTACCTGCATTTCAATCTTCCCGTACCTTGTTTTATCTGAAAAAAAGCAAAATTAATTATTTTCTTGGAGTCATTCAAGTTCATTTCAGATCCATATTCTCCAGTAAAACTCATAACCATGTAAAGATAAAAAAGTGGTTCTGATACTAAGCAGCATTTGGTTTTTGCCTGTCTGTTTATAGACGTCTTTATACTGAAGTATTAGGACCATTGTAGATAAGAGACACAAATCTTCAAAGGAGTAATTTTCTGTCAAAGAAATTGACATTTTTAGGTTAATTCCATATATCTATAAGGAAAAACGCTGATATTCTCTGTGGAGAAGTTGTAAATTTGCACAAAGTAAAAAATTCAATTTTCCATATTGCTGGCATAAATTTCCAATGTTAAAACTAGAATACTGTGTGACATTGTAAAGTCAGACATTTGCGAGGGGAAAAAAAAACAAACATTTAATTTCATGAGAAAAACTCGGAGGTTATCTAAGATTATAAAGTCAGACATTTGTGACAAAAAGTAGCAGACGTTTTCTAAAATTGAGATGGAAATGTGAGAGGGGCACTTGTGGATATTTTCCAGAGTGTCAGACATAGATCCTGTAATAGAGGAACAAAATGTCTGGGTCCAGACTGCCTGCAGCTTCCTGCTCACTATTTCAGGTGT